GACTTGTTTATTTGTTGTTGCATGCTCAGAATTATGAACTTTATAAAATTGAGTTTAACTACTGAAATTATGTGAGTTAAGTGATGGAAGTTGTTCGAAGTTTACGGCTGATAATTATACAGAAATATTTGCATTAAAAAGTCAAGGCTTTGGTTCGTGTAATTGAGATAACAAGATAAAGGCAAATTAATCAGTTTGTGCTACAAACAATTGAAACAAAATTAGAAATAATAATAATTGCCATATTATTTACTACAATTATTACAATAACTTGTTAACGTATTATTGTTTTCTCTTTTGTCAACTTAGTTGCAATAGAACTTATTAAGCTTAGTTTTCAAGACCTGTTTAACGGCTTACATCATATCAATTAAATTTGCATAGCCTTCGGGTTTGAACCAGCATGCAAAATAAATGACATTTTCATGTCTGCGCCGTTTACACTTAGTATATCGCATAACACAAATTTGCATTTAGCTTTCAGCTTGTTTTTATTTATTTATTTTAGATTGTTTTTTTTTTTTCGATTTGTTTCGCTTCGCATTTTGCATTAATTTCTGTATTTATTTCTCATGCATGCGAAACGTGTTTTGCAATGCCAAAAATGGCATTCACAGCCATTTGACACAGTATCAAAAATTTCACAGAGTTAGTGCCCCGCAGTCTAGAGTCTGGGTAAATACAAATTTGGTTGCTTTTAACTGAACGCTCTTTAAACAAATGACTTCATTTGATGTTGTTGCTGCTGCTGTTGTTGTGCTTGATGTTAGTTAAGTGACTCGGACTGGGCTGTCAAGGTGAGTCGCGTCGTTTGTATTTAAATAACGAGACCCTGTCGGCTGAGAGAACTTTGCATAGTTAATTAATAATTAGCTGTTTCATTGTTGGACAGGTGGCGTCTGTGCCCGACCACGCCCCTTGGCCGCATTTAACTAAAAGTTGAAACGCCTGCCGCTTGCTTATCGTTAAATATTTAAATGGACTAGATTTTCGATTTCCATACGCACATCGCGCTTTGGTCACACTCGATCTGTACGCAGCGCCCTCCTTCAAGCGTCTGTTTGTCTTTGCCTATTTGGTAAACATGGGATCGACCCAATAATTAGTTGCACTTAAGTACACATTAGATAAGTGTGCGGTTACAACTGCAACGGCCGAAGAAATGTGTTGACATTTCCTATGGTGAAATTGATTAAAAGTCAATATAAAGTTGTATAAAATTATATTTCCGCTCATATACGCCTATCACTAACACTCACTAAAGGGTGCGTTGTCTAAACCACAAATTACACACTAACCACACTGCCGCGAGGCAATTCAAATTGTTCGATTCGATTTTTCGATTTGGGTGGGAGGGAGTCACCCGAAATTATTGATTTTCCCTATGCGAGTTTTGCTGATTTGTTTTGTTTGTCTGCTTAGCGCTGTGCAGCTCGCTGTTTGTTTGTTTGCTTATTTGTTTATTTAATGTTTGTTTGACTCGAAAATTATTTGGGTTAAATCAACAGAAATGTAATCAATGAATAGACGAAAGCGCCGAACAAAACCAGACAAATATCCGTACGCAGAGCCCATGACAAAAGTTAAAGAGTGAAAAACGAAACCGCATTTGAAAATGAAAATAAAAATATTATATTTTTTGTTGGCTGCATAATTGCTTCCCGTTTGTTGATTCATATTGTTGTAGCCCAATTTGTTCAATCATTTCGGCTTTTCAATTTTCTTTATGCGGCAGGCTTCACATATTTGATTTGGCATAAGTTTTTCGTCAGGTAGTGAAGTGAGATTATTAAAATTATTTAAATAAACATAAATAATTATATATTAAGTCTAATTAAAAGTTTAGTTCTATGTTTAAGTTAAGCAGCTGTTGTTGATGTCGGAGAAATACCTGTATATTATTAATTATTAAATTGCAATAAAAATCCATTTGATTGCTTAGAAATACAAGAATATGTTATGAAATATTTAAGTAAAGTGTAAGATGTCTTTATAAGAAGAAAATTTTTGCTTGAGGGATAAATTAAGAGTTTTTAGCAATTTGTGTACTGGCAAACACTGTAGATCTGCCCCTTTTAAAGTCTAAAGACTTCCGCAATCTATCTGTGTACTCACTAAATCTTCCAGCATTTGCTATTCAAAAGTGAGTACATTTTGAATTGCTTAAGCTCGACAGCTCTCGGGCTCGTGTCTTATCTCTCATTGGCCTCTAAGTGCACACACTTTGGCACAGTTGAGTTGTCACAGCTGAGCGGAAACTCTGTGCTGCGGGACGACCCCTCGGGGGTCTACATGCCTGCCTAGGAGAATTGTGCGCCAATTAAAGGCGACCCCTGAGCTCTTAAAGTTCGGCCTCGGGGGTGGCAGTTGAACTTAAAGAGCCGCCAAGTCAAACTAATAACTGGCTTAAGCTAAAGGCGAGTGTGCTAAAAGGTTTGCACACCGTCGAGCAGTGTTGACAAACAGCCATAAAATGCCAGACACGGAGGCAGAGGTTTCTAACAAAGGGTAGCGAAGGGGAAGGGGCTGCTAAGTTTGGGGCACGTAGACAAGGGAAGCACATTGTGTGCTGGCGAAATAAAATGCTAAAATTATTCATTTTGCAAATAAGCAGCGTAAATATTTAATTAACAACTCAGCGCGCACACATACATACATGCACGCTGGAGGGAGTGTAAATGTGTCTCACATGTGCGACGTGGATCTAAGGTTTCCTCGGAATACGTGTGCATGTGTATGTGTGTGTGTTTATATGATGGTAATATAATATTTATTTATATGTCGCAGCCAGTCGGAAGCAGTCACAGTCAGAGTCAGAGTTAGAGTCACCTACGAGTGGAAGACGACGCGTTGTGACGTCACAATATCCCGAGCAATGACATGTGTTGCCTTTGCTTCGGCAATTTTTTTATGTATCGGTTAAGGGTCTCGGGTCGATGGCATTTACGATAACTTTTATCAATTAAATCGATCGCTTCACATGAGCAACTAGTCAAAGGTGATTCAGATTTATAGCTCAGGTAACTCGGCAAGCGATTGCTCTTGGATTTTTTTCTGAGAGCAAAGCATAGCTTGAAATACGACCAGCAGCTATATAAACTGGTCTCAGAACTATGTATTTATATTGGCAAGGTTTTGTATAGTTTATATCCACAATTTTCTAGGCTCTTTTATTTTATAAACGGAAATAATTTCATCAGCAAATTTATTATTTTTTCAAGCTAACAGTTTCCATTGAATATTTTCTTTATTATATTACGCCTTTAAGCAAATTTCTGCTGGCATTCATTTATTTCTCGCACCTTCAAGGAACTGCTCTCATGTGCGAAGGCTTTGGTTAAGATTGTATCGCTCCAAGTTTGATTTCATTAACGCAACTGGCTGCCCAGGTCCAGGGCCTGGCACAGAACTAAACGCTTGATTGGCCCAAAAGACACCGGCTAACTAGTCCTCTTACCCGCTTTCCCCCATGCCCTCGGCTTGTGTGCCCTGACTAATTAAATTAGTGTAGTCTGCAGCAGAAATGTGCTGTTATTATATTATTTTTGTTGTTGTTGTTATTGCTTGGCTTTAATTGCTGCTGTGCTATTGTTGGGCTGCAGAAATGACTTAATAGATTTAATGCCAGGTTTCCGGGGCTTGTTGGTTACGAAAATTTCATTTGTCGGTTGTTACTTTTGGTTCAGCGGGGGCTGAAACTAAAAGCGGCTTTGGGAAAATCGATGCGGCTGATAACTAGCAAATTCGTAGCAAAATAAAGCAATTAATAACAAATATGTTTATGCATTTTATAAGCCATCAAAAGCGGCTCAGCACGTGCCAATTGGTAGCTGGCTGCTTGGACTCGGCGGATTTTATGTGCAGGTGCTTAAATATTCCATTAAAAGCGCGTTAGAAATGAGCCCAGGAAGTAGCTGAAGTTAGCTGGAAGCGCGGCACTCTGGACTCACAAGCAACAAAAAACAGTCGACGGCAGCAGTAAAATGTTGGTTTATTTCATTGTTTCAATGCGTTGCACAAACAACTCGTAAAAGTCAGCAAATATTATTGCCTAGGCTTTGGGGTCGAGCTATTAAAATGTCATCATGCCGGCAAGGGGTGAACGGGGTGAGCGGGCTTAGCTGGTGAACTGTGAATGATAAGTCAAAACACGCAACTTCAAATCGTGCGCCTGCTTTTATTGGCAGTCCAATTCCCAGTACTCCCAGGTTGTCGTATTTATTATTTAACACCTTCCATCAGCCAGAGTGCCCCAGAAGCAGAAAGTGAAACAGAGACCCAAGCGGAAAATACCTATAAAATGTTGACCTTTTTGCACGCACCCAAAGCCGAGACATCGGCCCACTCAAGCTGGGTGGTCTGTATGCTTTTCTTTATGGGGTACTCTAGTTTTTACGAGTCCGTCACACCATAGGTTAAAATATTTAAAAGTGTGCTTAATTATGCTGTGAAAAAATAAGGAACGTTAAATAAAGAAATTCTCAAGACACGACAGCAAAGTCTTTTCAACAATGTAATTTCCATCGCGTGACGTAAGCTTTTCTTAGAAAAGAATAGAACAATAAATCTGCGGCTCACAATGAATAACGGTTTGATTAAAGGCGCGAAAACTTAACGTATCGGTGGAGACATACGCAAAAACTGCACTAATTCTCATAAGTATGATATCTAATATTTCATACCGAATATATTTATGTAGATATTGGTAATTGCACATGTATTAGTGTGCTTTTGACCAAAAAAAGCTCTTAACATGCCATTTTATCTACGATGTGCTTAAAGCTCATAATGTTATAGTGTCCGTGTGATATATGCGTGTTAGCTTAAAGCTTGACCTCACTCGATTATATTTACAGGATTAATTCTAGATACATTTAAGCTTTATCTAACATTTTAGCAATTTATATTCATGCTGCTTACTTAATCAAGCTTATCTTGTATTAAGTGTTTAAATACTTATATTTTCTAACTGTTTTTTTTTTAATTTGCTCTATTTACAGTTAAGAGCCGTAAGGCAGCATTTTCAGCACTGACATCCGCAGCTGCTTACTTTTAAGGTAAGTTTTTCAACTACATATCGATCTAAACGCACAACTCTCCAACTGCCCAAGTGTCCAAGTGTCCAATCTGCTCTGTTCACGTGTTGTTTAACACGCTCTGGCGGCTGCCTGTTACCAATTCCCCCAACCCAGATGTAAACTGTAACCCAAACCCCCCATAGCCCCCAAACTCGTACCCAAAAACGTACCCAGACCCAAACCCAAACCCGTCGCTTGCTATTCATGTACGCTATCATAGAGACTCAAATTGAATTACAACAAACACGGGACTGACAGCCGAATGGCTTTGGATGTTGGCAGCGGTACGAGATGTGCTCGTTCGCATAAAATATGCAATTGCAAGTGCGGACATTGGAGGAAACTATGCAGACGATGGTCGCAGGTCTCAGGTGATATATCGCAAAACTAGTTTACGCAACATGTGGCATGTGCATTTTGCATGCCACAAGCACACACAGCGAGTGGAGAGAGAGGAGCAAGAGTGCAGAGCGAGACGTGCCACAAAAAAAATTGACATTTTGACATGTGGCGGTACCTCAAGATTTGCCACAGATAAACTACAAATGGTCACCGGCGACCGGTTTGTGGCTGTGGCACCAGAGTAAAGCGTATTTTAAATACAAATGTTATCTGCTGACCGAGCCCCGGCGAACAAGCAGCCGAACAAATATCAAAATGTGTGTGCAACCGTACGTGCCACGTTTTGTGGCTGCTACAATTTTTAATGGATAGACGGCAGACAGCGAATGCGCATTAGAAACCGGGCGGGTCCCGACTAGCACCGAGTATCAAAGTCATGCACAAGACATGAGCATCAGTTGAACCCCTTGGACATTCGGCAGTTGTGCAGATGCACTTCCAGACTTGCCGCACTTGCCACACACCGCTTGCCGCCCCTTCAACTGGCTTTGCATGCCAAATTTTCGCATGGCTACTGCAATTTTCTTTCAATAACTGGCCTCGGTCCAGCCAGTTGCCCGTTGGCCGTAGCCCGCTTGGTTAGGCACGTTTCGGGCTTGAAGTATCTGTTGGATACTTGAACTCGGTATCAGTTAACCACTCGCCCGCTCGCCTGGGGTGGGCGCGGGGGTGTCAATGGGCGTTGCATTGAGACTATTTGCTATTGCATATATTTATTTTAATTGCATTCGTTGTTCGCATCGCTTCGAGTTGCTTCTTGAGGTGTTTGCTCGCCGATAAAATAATTTCCAATGTTGCAGCCATGACTTTCGACTTGTTCGGTTTTTGGGGCTCTTGTATTTCGTTAAGCTAATTGGCATATTGAACGGTAGTTTCGAGTGTTAGATCCACTTTTGAAAACGTTTTCACATGAATGGTCTTCTAGCACTTTATGAACATTTAAGCAAGATATTGTTTTATAAACTGAATATAAACTATTTTCTATAAACTATTAACTAAGCGCACTTGTCAGAGAGCAATAAATATTAGTAGATTGTGGAATACTGACTGTACAAGAATTAAACTTGAAATTTAACGTGAATTTGATGCTGCTCAAGAAATGCATTCCTCTGCATTTGTGCATAGCCCACATACCCCTTTTATTTAACCACTTCTATAGTGTCTTAATCTAGCTAACATATTAGACTGCATAGCATCTGTATCTTTATCTATTCCTTTCGCAATGTAAAGTGTAATTGCTACATTTGCAGCTGTCTAAAGAGAAATGCGATTACGAATTGGAAACGTGAATTTTTCATAGAAATAACCAAACATTTTTGTCTAAAAGCATTCTTCATTCTGAGCTGCAGCCGTTTCTCGGCTAGACGTCTGTTTCCAACAGCCAGCACTCGACAACTGCCCAGCCCAGCCCAGATGAGCTCAGCTCGGCCCAGCCCTGTTCCTTCCTGCTGGCTTAGCTCGAGATAAAGTGATATCTGCCTGGCTTATGTCCACTCAATAGGTTAGGGAATCGCAGGTCTCATAATTGATATTCATATGTGGATTTGTGTTTGTCGTTCGGCCGCATCTCATTAGCATCGCATATCCTTGTTGGAAGGAGCCTGGGCTATGTGTCGAGTTACCTGCGCTTATAAATAAGCACATAATCAGGCGACAAAAGCGTCGCCAGCAACAGCAGCAGCCGCGTGCATAAATAAATAAATAATTTGCAACAATTACCATAAGTTGCGCTGACATCTCCACTCGTCGTAAAAGCGTGTGTGTGTGTGCGTGTGTGTGTGTGTTGACATTCAAGTTATGACTAACTTAGAGGCCAGTCTCTGCGGCAGATGATGATGTTGACTATGATGATGGTGTCAGTAGAGAGCTACCAGTCGATAAACATAAATAGCTGCCACGAGTAGCTAGCACTTCCCTGCCTGAACCCCCCCTCCCACAGTCAATTCACCCAGCAGCAGTAAACTGTTCGACTTTATGGCCAATGGCCGATAGACGCGTCTCTGCTACAGCGTTGAGTCTGTGGAGTCGGCTTTAATTAGCGCTCGCCTCACAATTAAATAATATTTTTTCGCCAGCTCTCTATCTGAGCCCTCGCACCGCCCCGCCCCCCTACACTTTGGGTCTGTGATGCTGCCGACTTGTTAACTCGCTGCCTGACAGTCTGCCAACAAGTTTTAATTACCAGCACAACAAAAAAAAAAAAAAAAAAAAAAAACACAACCAAATGTCTCCCGGGCAGTTAGTTTTGATAGTCGCTGCCTTTTTTTAATGACACTCAACTCGATTTTTTTTTATTTTTTTTTTGTTTGTGTGTATGCAAATACTTGCATTTTTTACGTAGTTTACGGCCTGTGATTGTTATCCGCACGTCGTTTTTAAAGCGTTTATTTAGCTTTTGCACGTTCAAAACTGAGTGCTCGGAACTGAGGGCCCAGTCACTCTTCATTTGCTGCAAGGCGCTGTTGGCTTTATATATATATATATATATATTGTTTTATTTGTTTTTGATTTGTTGCTAATTCGAAGAGCAGCCCTTTTTGGTTTTTATTTGTGTTATTTATGCCCATCAATAGAGAAATACGAGTTCTTGACTCGATAAACGAGCTCTGATTATGACACGCCTGTAGGGCAACTGATGCTTCTGGCTGTCGGTTTTGGGGCGTTGATTGTCTCGCTTGACACATTGACATGCATTTTGTCAATAAAACCAGCAGCAGTTTGTCATTTGATTTGATATTTTTGATGAAGGTCGTTTCTGTTAACGCTGTAAAGTGACGGAAATTTTGTGGCGACCTTAGCCAATTTGGCCTCTGGCAGTGGCAGGGCCTGAAAATCAACCAAGTCTGCTATCGAAACGAATAAAATATATTTCAATTTGAGAGTGCTCTAGATTTAGCTAGTAAATATATAAATAAAGCATATATATAAAGCAGTTAAACACATTATACTGTACTTTATGTTATATAAACTACTTTAAACGGGATTTAAATGCGTTTGCCTCGCATGGAATTGACATGTATCTGGAAATGCAATCTCTGCGCTACTTGAGTGTTTAACTCATTTTCCTTGAGCACTTTGAGTCACTTTGAGGGCAGCTCCTTTTAGCTGCCATCACAGCAGCAGGACACGCCCGGCTGACCACGCCCTCGACTCGGGGCATACGGCCCGCAATACGCGAATTGCTTCTCTCTGCTCGCCGGCTTATTTACAACTTGACATTTCACTTGTCGGAATCGCGGCACTTCAATGCGCCCCAATTGCATTTTATGACAGACCAAACTGACCTACTTAAGGGCACTTTCCAGCGCACAGACACAGATACACACACACACGCACACACACACACACACACTAACACACACTGAGAGACACCCTCGCAATGCTGGCGCTTTCGTTGTCCTTTTCAATCGCATTATAAATTTAATGTGTTGACCTTTTTGTTCGGCCTCAGCTCGACCGCAATTTCAATAGATTGGCTGCAGAAATCGAGGCTAAAGTGACGCTTAAAACCCTCGTAAAATTTAACTAAAATGTTCATAAGTAGTTGCTCGGGCCAAGCAGCCGCAAATAGAAACGAGCTACAAGTGAGCAGCGTATTTCAAGCTGCACACTCTATTAAATGTATCTTTGAGATACGCGCGCTTTAAGCCACTCGGTCCAGGGTTGTCGCATTTCACGCTCGCTGCACGCACGTTTGGCCCGCGTGCCCGCCAATATCCTGAGCCATTTCCTGCTTTGTTTTTCGCCCTTTTGTTAGAAGGTCGCCACTTTTTCTTGGCACTCGCTCAAGTCATGGGTTAAAATTTTGTCACAAAAGCTGCGTACCGGGCTTCAGCGCAAAAAAAATACAAGAAAAAAGCGACAAAATTACAAAAAAAAAAAACAAAACAAAACTTTCTAAAGAGTTCTTAGTTTGTTGTTGTTGTTGTTGTTGCTGTTGCTTGGCATTGAATAAAACGTCTTCAACTAGAAGCAAAACATTGTAAATTGTTTTTCTTTGGCACACACAACAACCGAAAGTAGAAGAAAAAATAAACGCCCCCCCTTCGCCCCATCCCTTCACCGATCCGCCCTACACATGTTCGGTGTTATTTTTGTTAAATTTTTCAGGGGCTGTCATCTTTGTCTTTTTCATCCTCTTCTTCCTTTTCAACCGGTCTGGTCATGTGCACTTCAAAAGCAGCCTGGCAAAAAGAAAACTTTTCTTATGCCATTGCATGAGAGGCTACACGTTTTTAAGGACTGCCCCACATATGTGGGTCCTCCACCTCCATCTCCACCCAGTCCCGCTTGATCTCTGTGTTCAATGTCTTTGTAGCTAACCATATCGTGTATTTTTGGTATATTTTGGTAAAAAAAAAAAGTCTCGAGTCCTGGCGCTGCGCTTGACTGATTTTTGCTCGTGCAAATATTTTATTGACTATTATTTTGGCTGTTGTCCTTGCCGTTGGGTACTTTAAAGCTTTGTGTTTATTTTTTATTTATTTCTTGCACAAAAAAAAATCAGATTTATATTTACAAATCTATTATTTTAAAGATGTGCCGCAAAATGGCATATGCATTAAATCTTTCAGAGA